TTGGCCTTTCCTTCTGTAATAGCCCTCATTTTATGAGTTGGAGAATGAAGATGAAAATTCTAGTCAACTTCTAAGTATATCTATCACAATAGGAGACTATGTGATTAGAGAAATGAATAGAGGATGATATTAGAGACTCACTAAAACCACCCTTAGCTAAAACTCAACTGATCACTTGATAGTCATAACCCCTTGCTTTAAGTTTAAGGGCACAACATTGAATCAGACATAGCAGAGTACACCACAGCGTCAGTACAGAGTAGGTCTAAAAGTCTGCATACTTTTCCCCCTAAATTACAGCTACTCTAGTGTAAAACCATAGGTTTCTTTGGAGAATGATAAGAGAAAGATTAATAATAAACCTTACTAAGACAAATATTCAATGTCAATCAAAGACTTCAATTTCTAGTTTTCACAGCATATATATATATATATATATATATAAAAATTCTGCCAAATTACTTCAAAATTTTTATACTGCTAAGCATTTTAAGGTATTTGATTCTACATGACTCATATTTTTTTTCCTATTCAAAACATTATTTTATTAGAATATTTCTTTCCATCGGTGGTTTGCAATTATCATTATCTGGGTAGTAAAATCAAAATAACTGACATTGAAAAATCTATAAATCTTATAAGAAACATATAAAATGTACATGAAGAGCTGTAATGAAAGTATGAGAAACATTAATAATTAATCATAAAAATATTGAAGGAATTTCACAGTATTATGAACATACATTTAAGGTTACATGTATTTTATGCCTAAACATCTAAGGTTATTATAAACACCCTCTTACTTTTATGAAAATGAGTATCTAGATTTGAGGATGAAGCTATGCTGTAGAATAAATGTAAAGTTTTATTTCTTTTTCTTCCAAATGATAAAACTGAATATTTTATATTAAATATAAGATGAATAGATAGAAAGCCTCATGTTAAATATAAAGGGATTGCTTAATGAATGTCTGTGTTACCCATATGCAGTAGAATAATTATTCAATGTTTGTGAAGCTATGAAACATACATCATAAATAAATAGTTCATGAAGTAGCACAGGCAATATTTGTTTTGCAGCATGGTTTTGTGATAGGAACATTAGTTATTCATATTTAAATTGTAAGAATTGTACATTGTATTAAATCTAAAATTTATCAAACTACATTACAATATTCAAATACAGGGTGTTATCTCTTGAATAGGTCAACATGCAAATTTTCAGCTTGCCAAAAAATAATGGTATTGTCACAGTCAGAATAAAAAGTAAACATTTGTTTCATGTAGAGCTACAGGCTAGCATAATGTGATTTTAAATATTTCAATGTCCATTGGAATAAAACTCACCTAGTAAAAAAGTCAAATTACACCATTACGTTGAATACATTTCCTCAGAAGTATTTCATGGTTTTGTAGAAGTCATAATGAATGTTTTATATCAAAGAAATGTGTATATAGAGATTGCATACTGTCATCACAGTCAGCATTTTGGCTTAATAAACCAAGGTAAGCATCTTTCCAACATAAGTTTCCCTCCAGTACTCTGATCTGATGTATGCTTTCACAATGGGAAAGCAGGCACAGCCTGCATCCCATTTGTTCTTTACACATCTATCTTTAATTATGCAGTTACTTTGCCTTAGTTCAGAGTCAGGGAGAGGTAAATATCACAAATAAAGTACAAAACTTAAGGCAGTATTCATCAGCAGTTTGTTGCAGTTTCTCCTTTGCAATTGATGGATGTTCAATATTCCACTGCCGAATCTGGATTCTACTTCCTGCTTTTGCTCTCTCTCAATGTGTTTGTATGGGGTCCCTGGAGACTTGGGTGCCCCACTCCAACCTGTGGAATGAATGTGTGTATTGTATTGTCTTGTCATCTTCACAACACACTCAGTTTCCTTCCTTCAACATCGTTTTTAACACTTTCTGTACTCTTAACAAGTGGTTTTTGTGCGGACCATCATTTCAAGCTGCTAATAGACCAGCTATCTTCACTGATACAGTTTGAACATGACAAATCTCATTCTTACACAATTTCTTGGAGAGTTGCAGTTGCTTCTTTGCTAATCATCATTCTGTATAATGTGTCTATGCTTCAGATGTATGCTTTATGCTAATCTTTTTTAGAAAGTTTCTGCAGGCTAGAGGCGGCAGCAGCGGCGGCAGCAGCGGGTTCGGAGGCAGAGGCTTGAAGCGAGCAGACGGGGTCGAGTCAGTGCTTTCGAGCGAGTTGGAATAGAAGCCTCTTAAAATGGCAGATGACTTGGACTTCGAGACAGGAGATGCAGGGGCCTCAGCCACCTTCCCCATGCAGTGCTCAGCATTACGTAAGAATGGTTTTGTGATGCTCAAAGGCTGGCCATGAAAGATCGTCGAGATGTCTACTTCGAAGACTGGCAAGCATGGCCATGCCAAGGTCCACCTGGTTGGTATTGACATTTTTACTGGGAAGAAATATGAAGACATCTGCCCGTCAACTCACAATATGGATGTCCCCAACATCAAAAGGAATGATTTCCAGCTGATTGGCATCCAGGATGGATACTTATCCCTGCTCCAGGACAGTGGGGAGGTACGAGAGGACCTTCGTCTGCCTGAGGGAGACCTTGGCAAGGAGATTGAGCAGAAGCATGACTGTGGAGAAGAGATCCTGATCACGGTGCTGTCTGCCATGACAGAGGAGGCAGCTGTTGCAATCAAGGCCATGGCAAAATAACTGGCTTCCAGGGTGACGGTGGTGGCAGCAGTGATCCTTGAGCCTACAGAGGCCCTTCCCCCAGCTGGGTTCTGCTCTGGCTGGGCCCTTGGCTGGACTCCTATACAATTTATTTGACGTTTTATTTTGGTTTTCTTCACCCCTTCAAACTGTCGGAGAGACCCTGCCCTTCACCTAGCTCCCTTGGCCAGGAATGAGGGAGCCATGGCCTTGGTGAAGCTACCTGCCTCTGCCCTCACAGCCCTGGTGGGGGAAAGGGGGAAAGGTATTGCTTGCGGTTTAGGTCCCCCACCTCCCTTATTTTCTTTTTAATTCAATTTGGAATCAGAAAGCTGTGGATTCTGGCAAATGGTCTTGTGTCCTTTATCCCACTTATCCCTGGTCTGGTCCCCTGCTCTCCGTAGTCCTTCACCCCAAGCACCACTTGTACAGACTGGGGACCAGCCCCCTCCCCTGCCTGTGTCTCTTCTCCAAGCCCTTTTAGGGGTAAAGAGAAGAGTGGGGGGGGGAGCAGACATGATCCCTCCTCAGGCATCTGGGAGGGCCTTGCCCCCATGGGTTTCACCCTTTCCTGCGGTTCTCCCTGACACATTTGTTAAAAATCAAACCTGAATAAAAACAAGTTTAATATGAAAAAAAAAATCATCACATTGAGTCTGGACCAGTGTGGGACAATATTATACAGGCCACATATTTTTGCATTGTATTGGCAGCCAGGATCTCAAGTCACAGTAGCATCTAAGGTGCTAAAAGCCATTTCAGCCTGGCTGTCTCCTGAAGTTAGGTTATGCTGATGTTGTTCTTTTCCTTCTTTGTAATTATCAGGACAGTCTAGGAAGAATTGTTAATTCCAAGCTAATGATAGGGCTGCAGATGTGACTTTAGTCCTGCCACCCCAGAAACAGAATGCTAATGAACATCCCCCTCAGTTTACCTTGGGAGATATAAGCTGATTTGAAAATAAAAGCAGGTAACCTTCAGGAATTGAATGAACCCTGAAACTGCCTTCCTATATTGCAATGTGAACTGTGTCTCAATTATTCCTACACCTCTATGCCGGGCAATTGTGTTTGCTCAATTTTAAGGTCACGTTAATAATCTTTTCCCAGTTGATCAATTACTGCAGTTTGCAAAGTTTATTCATTTTTGTATAAAAGAGTGGCAAAAGATCCCATAAAGAATTCTCTGTTAACTTCCACTGATGGCTCATTAAATGGGAGGGCTGTATATATGGTTAATGGTAAAGGACATGCCATCCAGACAGAACAAGCTTCAGCTCAAATTGTTTAGCTTCAAGCTGTAGATTTAGGGTTTAAATATTTTGCAAATACTTTTTTAAGTTGATCTTGCATCCTGTCACACCATTGAAGGAATTTATCAGCAGTAGGAGTTTCTGGTAGAGGTTTTGGGGTCACTTATGTACACTATCATATCATCTGAAAATAACAAAAGTCTGACTTTTCTCTTTCCAATTTGAATCCCCTTCATCTTCTTATGTTGTCTTACTGCTGTTGCTAGAACTTCAAGAACCATGTGGAAGAGATATGGAGAGAATGGACAGCCTTGTCTTGTTCCTGATTTTAGTGGAATCACTTTTATTTTGTCTCCATTTAATTTGATGTTAGCTGTCTCCTTGCTGTATATTGCTTTTATTATATTTAGATATGATCCTTGTATCCCTAATCTCTTTAAGACCTTAATTATGAAAGGGTGTTGGATTTTGTCAAACACTTTTGTTCAGCATCTAATAAAATGATCATATGGCTTTTTTTCATTCAGTTTATTTGTATGGTGCATTACATTGATAGATTTTTATATGTTGAACCAGTCTTGCATCTCTGGAATGAAGCCTACTTGATCATAATGGATGATTTTTTTGATGTGTTCTTGGATTCAGTTTGACAGTATTTTATTGAGAATTTTTGCATTGATGATTATGAGTGAGGTTTGTCTGCAGTTCTCTTTCTTGGTTGAGTCTTTGTGCAGTTTTGGTATCAGGGTAACTGTAGCTTCATAAGAAGAGTTTGGCAATGACGCTTCTGTTTCTATTATGTGGAACATATTGAGGAATATAGGTATTAGCTCTTCTTGGAAGTTCTGGTAGAATTCTGCAATGAAACCATCCAGCCCTGGGCTTCTTTTGGTTGGAAGGTTTTGATTACAGCTTCTAATTCCTCACGACTTCTATTTCCTTCCATTTTTTTAAAAACATTTTCTAATTGTGCAGAATATAGTCTTTTGTAGTAAGACCTGATGATTTTCTGAATTTCCTCTGTGTTTGTTGTTATGTCCCTCTTTTCATTTCTGATCTTGTTAATTTTGGTGATCTCTCTCTGCCTTTTTATTAGTTTTGATAGTGGTTTGTCAATCCTGTTGATTTTCTTAAAGAACCAATTCTTTGTTTCATTGAGTCTTTGTATTGTTTTCTGTATTTATATTTTGTCAAATTCAGCCATCAGTTTGATTGTTTACAGTCTTCTATTCCTCCTGAGTGAGTTTGATTCCTTTTTTCTAGAGCTTTCAAGTGTGCTGTTAAGTCTCCAATGTGTGCTTTCTCCATTTTCTTTAAGTGGGCACTTAGTGCTATGAACTTTCCTCTTAGCACTGCTTTCATAGTGTCCCATAGGTTTGAGTATGCTGTGTCTTCATTTTCCCTCAATTCAAGGAAGACTTTAATTTCTTTCTTAATTTCTTCCTTGACCCAGGTGTGGTTCAGTAGTTGACTGCTCCGTTTCCATGAGTTTGTAGGCTTTGTAGGATTAGTATTGTTGTTAAATTCTAACTTTACTACATGGAGATCAGATAAGACACAGGTGGTTACTCCACGTTTTTTGTATCTGTGGATGTTTCCTTTGTTACCAAGTATTTGATCAATTTTAAAGAAGGTTCCATGAGGTTCTGAAAAGAAGGTATATTTTATTTTGTTTGGGTCACAATCCTTCCAAAGGCAATCTGAAGATTCAATACAATCCCCATCAAAATCCCAACAAAATTCTTCACAGACCTTGAGAGTACCAACTTTATATGAAAAAAAAAAAAAAACAGGCTAGCCACAACAATGCTATACAATAAAGCGACTTCCAGAGGCATTATTATCCCTGACATCAAACTCTATTATAGAGCAACGGTAATAAAAACAGCTTGGTATTGGCATAAAAATAGAGACATTGACCAATGGAATTTTATTGAAGACCCATATATTAATCTACACACCTATGAACACCTAATTTTTGACGAAGAAGCTAAAATTATATAATGTAAGAAAGAAAGCATCTTTAACAAATGTTGCTGGCATAACTGGATGACAACCTGTAGAAGAATGAAAATAGATCCATATCTATCACCATTCATAAAACTCAAGTCCAAATAGATTAAAGACCTCAATATAAATCCAACCACCCTGAACGTGATAGAAGAGAAAGTGGGAAGTAGCCTGCAATGCATGCGCATAAAAGTCCACTTCCGAAATGTAACCCCAGTAGCACAGACAGTAAGAGCAACAATGAATAAATGGGACATCCTGAAACTGAGAAGCTTCTGTAAAGCAAAGGACACTGTCATTAAGACAAAAAGGCACCCTACTGAATGGGAGAAGATCTTCACCAACCCCACAAATGACAAAGGTCTGAAATCCAAAATATGCAAAGAAATCAAGAAATTGGACACCAATAGATCACATAATCCAATAAAAAGAACTCAATAAACTAGACATTAAAATTCTGAATAACCCAATTAAAATTGGGTACTGAACTCAAAAGAGAATTCTCCACAGAAGAACGACAAATGGTCAAAAGATACTTAAGGACATGTTCAACTTCCTTAGCTATAAAGGAATTGGAAATCAAAACAACTTTGAGATACCATTTTACACCTGTCAGAATGGCTAAAGTAAAAAACACCAATGATATCTTATGCTGGAGAGGATGTGGAGTAAGGGGAACACTCTTTTTTGGTGGTGTGAATGCAAACTTGTGCAACCACTTTGGAAATTAGCATGGCAGTTTCCCAGAAATTTGGGAGTCAACTTACATCTGGATACCACTCCTGGGAATATACCAAAAAGATGCCCAATCATGCTACAAAAACATTGTTCAACTATATTTATTGTAGCCTTATTTGTCATAACCAGAAGGTGGAAAGAACCTAGATGCCCCTCAATAGAAGAATGAATAAAGAAAATATGGCATTCTACACATTAGCATACTACTCAGTGGTAAAAAAAAACAATGACATCTTGAATTTTGTGTGCAAATGGATGAAAGTAGTAAATTCTTTCCTGATTGAGATAACCTAGATTGAAAAATATGAATATGGTATGTACTCACTCATAAGTGGTTTCTAGCAATAAACAAAGGACATTGAGCATACACTTCAGAATCCTAGAGAAGCTACATAATAACATGAACCCAAAGAAAAACATATATAGGGACACCTGGAAATTAGAAGCAGAAAAGATCACCTTGCAATATTTGAAATCATGGAAGTGGGAGATATAGTGAAGTGGAGAGTGTGAGGGGGAGGGCAAAAGGGGAGGGCTGGGAAGAGCATGGGTTAGTGAGATGGTTGAGATGAAGGAAGGATGGATATGGGAGTAGGGACGGAGATATCTTAATTGAGGAAGATATTTTAGTGTTGGCAAGAGTCTTGGCTCTGGGGGCATTTCCAGGAATCCACAAAAATGACCCCAGCTATGACCTTATGATAGTGGATGAGAGGGTACCTAAACTGAACTTATCCTGCAATCAGACTGATGACTATCTTAAATATCACCCTAGAAACTTTATCAGTGACCAATAGAGACAGAAACAGAGACCCACACCAGAGCATTGAATTGAGCTCCTAAGGTCCAGTTGAAGAGTGGAAGGAGGGAGAATATGAGCAAGGATGTCAGGACCACGAGGATTTGGTTAACCCACTGAGACAATGTGTCGGAGATAATGGGAACTCACCAACTCCAGCTGGACTGGGAATGAATGAGCATGGGATCAAACTTGTCCCTCTGAATGTGGTTGACAGTTGGCAAGACTGAGAGGCCATTGGCAATGGCACTGGGATTTGTATCTATTGCATGTACTGGCTCTTTGGCATGCTATTCTCTTTGGATGCATACCTTGCTCAGCCTGTATGTAGTAGATGGTGCATTGGACTTCCTACAGGACAGGTTGCCTTGCCCTCTCTTAAGACTGGAGGTGGTGGGGGAGGTCTTTGTTTTTTCCCAGGATTAAGATCTAGGCAAGATGACTTCCAGAGCAACTGATTTGGTGTATTCACCAAAAGAATACCAGACCTGATGACATCATAGCTGATAATGTTCCAGCAGGAGAAACTAAATAAAAGAAGATTGAGGAGAAGCCCTTGGTCCAG